GAATAGTAGTTGATTTTTGGGATATTGTAAAGCAGCCTGGATACTGCATTACTTGTACTATTTAGAGCCACTATTGCTTAGTGTTGCTAACAGTATTTATTTTTGATGGAATTGGTGAACATTGTTTGGGACTACATTTAGAATATCTTTTCTTTCGTATGCTCCGGCAGTAGCTGTTAGTAATTAGATGTTTACATATTTTTGTCTCCATATTTGAAAATGTCCGTCGTGTCTTCCAAATAGTATACATACTCCAAAAAGTACACTTCTCGTTGGGCTATTTTTTTTCTTTCTTTAAATGTCCTGTAAAATATAATCTATAATTAACTTCTCTGACATGTAACCTATGAGTTTTTTATAGTCTCTTTGCCAGCCCCCCCCCCTCCCCTCCCCCACAACTTAATATTCTGATTTCAGTTCCTGCTAGGTGACATTGTTATGTCCTATAGATGGAGATTTCGCTTGTGGTTGAATTTTCTCAATTCTGTCCTTCTCTTTACATCTCTACTGGCTGCATCTGCTCTAGTGCTAGTGTCTTTAGGTGAAACATAAGAGGAGGATGAGTGAAGGCTATTGGTAACAATACCTGTTGTAGTACTCTGAAATGATAGAATAAATGGAGTTCCAGGGAAATGACCAGTTCTCTGTGCCTTCCCTTCATATAGCTTAGCAGGAATTTCTCTTAATACTCTGCGCTAAAGAGTCAAGCAGATCTTTATTTTACCTTAGTACAAAACTGTGTGTTCATGTAGCATTGCAACAGAGCATGAGCATTTAATGCATCTGATTTTTTATTTTTATCCTTCCTGAGATTGTAAAATTTCTAGGTGATGAGTCCATGAAGTCTCCACAATCTTGATGCACAGTTATTGGGTAACTTCTGATGAAAAATTGAATAGGTTCTTCAGCCTGGAGATAAATATTCTTATCCTTATTATAACGTGCTTTATAGACTACATTTTAACTAAAATAACTTTTTAATTCTTTCTAGTTTGCTGAGTGGAAGAATTTCAACGCTTAAAGATGAAACTGGTGCTGTGAGTAACACCATTGATAAATGATGAATGTTTGTTTCCAAATCTGTATTATACTAAACGTTACCTATATTACTCTTTGGTTCTAATATGATAGACTATTAGGTCAACTACATAGATATAGTAAAAATAGCAGATTAAACACCTTAAGGAATTAATATATTTTTATTAGATATTAGATGATCAGATATTAATCTTGAATAGTTAACTTTTTTCTAGGTTTCCTAAAGCCTTGTAAAATAGAGTGCAACTGTTTTGGTATTATATATTGGCCATGTTTATGCTAGCATCGCTTCCACTTCTACCACACGCGGGTTCAGAAAAGTCAGTTGTTAAGTTAAAGGCTAATGGTAAAAGCAATCAGAACTTGTGGTAGAGGTGATAACTTTTATTAGACCAACTGGATTTTTGCAAAAAAAAGTTTTTATTTGCAAGCTTTTGGGCACAAACACCCTTCATTAGGCACTGGAGAAAAGATTGTAAAAGTTCTTCTGGGTAGAAATGAAAGTTCATATTTCATAGGAGAGTTGAAGGTGTGGTAAAATCTCCTGTTTGGAAAAGTTAATTTTATATGCAGAGTAGGCTCAGAAAAGTTGGAATAATCTGTTTACCTCACAGTTGTTTGGTAAGCAGGATGTATTCATATTTCCTTCTGGTTATAGTGTTTCATATTTCACAGAGGAGTAAATAAATAGAAAGCTCCTCTGGGCAGGCATTTCTTATCTGATAAGGTGTCTCTGAGCTCTGTGGTGAGGCTCTGTGATGATGATGCAAATTACTGCTCCTGCCTTTGTTCAAGGTATCTCAGGTTTCTCAAAGGTGGAGTTATTCAGGAGTCAGTGGGACTTAGGAGCTAGCACCCATAATATGCTTTTTAGTTTATTTTATCCATCATGAAGGGACCTAAAAGTGAACTTCCAGAAAAAGATGTGCGGTAACAAACTTGTTCATCGGAAAGTCAAGGAGACGAACAACACTTTGGAATGTCTGTCTTATGGTTTTATATTATTACTTATCACAATAGTATCTGGGTATAGACAGATATAACAATGTTATCAATATCAAATTGTACTCATATGAGCTATAGGCTGTAACTTACATCTGTGTGCTCCTGTTTCAAGACATGGGTAGCCCTTGCAACTTTAACCCAGTTTCATTCATTGCTCATTCTCTCTTTTAAAAAGGTACATGGGATCAAGTTATATTTTTTGATTTAAGAGATTGCTCTAAGTACCACTAGAAAGTTGGTAGGGATGAAACTGCTTAGGGGGGGGTGTGTGTGTGTGTGGTGGTAATGACTTTTATATGTGCTTGTGCACATGTTTAAACATCTTGGACTAAATCTTGTGATTGAGTGTCTTGTACGCTAACTCCCACTCAGTGGGTGCTGCATATGAAATTAATGTGAAACAATCAGTTCTGGAGCAGTGTGAGCCAAAGTAAACTGCTTTTGGGTGCAGTGTCCACATGTGCACCTGGGACAGCAGCAATTTGAGCCAGGGTGAAGCAGGCCCCAGGCTGACTGGGTCCAATTTACACCTGTGGTCAGCATCTAGATGTGTTCAGTGCATTTAAATTACTCCACTGTAATTACTTGGAAATGGTACTAGTTTACAGTGGAGTTAATTAGTTTACTGCACCCTAATACTGGTGTATCTGTAGACAGTGATGCTTTACTGCAGAGCTAATTAATCTGCTCCACAGTAGTGCGTGTGTAGCTGCACCCACTGTAGATGAATTTGAGACTGCAAAGGGTGTATCCTCTCCTTTCAGACAGAAGTATAGTCTTGTTAGTGGAGCTGGTATTTTAAAGCATACTTTTAATGTATTTAATGTAAATTCTCTTTATTTGTAGATATTTATTGATAGAGATCCAGCAGCATTTGCACCCATTTTAAATTTTCTTCGTACAAAGGAGCTAGACTTGCGGTAAGAAGTTCTGGTTCTTTGAGAGAGTTTCCAAAATATAGTTTGCAAGTGTGGAAATTTTACATGATAGGACTTTTCTAATTCTATGGATAAATTAAGCATTCTAACACATGACTAGTAAATTGGGCACAAGACCCTAAAGCATCTACTCCTGCTTAGTCACTGGTATGAAGTATAGGACTGAAAGTCTTTTATTTATAGTTGGTTATAATGTCAGTTTTGTAACATATGGTACATTTCTCGGTCAAATTTCTGCAGGCTTTTCTGTAATGCTAACTTCAATTTAGTGATCTTAACCTAGGGTTAAAAAAAAAAACACCCTACTTTATTTCAAACAATGGGCTATTTCAATTCTAGGGTGGAAATACTTTTGGAGTGCTTGCAGATGCGGAGGGGAAAAAAAAGACACTGTACTTTAAACTCGGCGCATTCCCACACTGAGCCCCAGCATGCCCAGAAGAGGCAGTGCATTACTTCAACCCAGCACTCCTGACATCTGTAAAGATTGGACACCTTAGTGGGGCTTTTTGGGAACTTTATCTAATAGCTGATTGATCAGCTTTCACTAAAAGTGCCAATAAGCCTCACTGAAAGCCTGATATTTACAGACACTGCAGACCTGGGTTGAAGTAATATGCTGCTGCTTCCGGTAAAGCACATTTTTAACATCTGCAAGCAGCCTTAGTTTATTAAGTTGAGGTTTTCCAGTAGGTTTAGATCTGAAGCTTATTTTAACCAAAAACTTCCTGAGAGACAAACCCTAGTTTAAAAAAAAAAAAATCTAATGTTCCCTCTTTTAAAAGGAAAATACATATTTTCAAGACATTGTTTTCCTCTTTCTTTCACCTCCAGGGGAGTAAGTATTAATGTTCTCAGACATGAAGCTGAATTTTATGGAATCACTCCTTTAGGTAAATGTTTTTTATGTGATTTCTAATACTTAGCATTGCCGTAATAATAATCTTCTTATGTTTTAAAACTTTGAACATCTCTAAGCCAGAATGATTAACAAATTTGTTTATAGAGAAATTGTGGTATTTCAAGTATTTGCTGTTGTATTGCAAAGATTGGTTTAAAAACAAGGTTTATAACCCCTAAAGATTCATTTAAAGGTTTTTCTTTTTGATGCTATTTTTTTTTCTTAGTAAGAAGATTGCTCTTATGTGAAGAGCTAGAACGTTCATCATGTGGCAGTGTCCTTTTTCATGGCTACCTACCTCCTCCTGGTACTTCTCTGTTTTTTTACTGTATTTATTGTGTGTCGTTTCAGTATATGGACTGTTACATTTCATAGTCTTGTACGGTTGTTGGCTTGAAAGGTTGTCAACAGAACCATTAGTTAATGGGCAAACAGACTATATTGTTTGGTAAAATCTTTAATGTGAAGCTGGTAAACAGTACCCTTTGGTGCAACATGGTATATATCCCTTCATAGTTGAGTATTTGCTCATTTGCTTGCATTGCCTGTATGCACCACCAAAGACTATACATGATGTAACTGGGGGAAAAATACTGGATGAATGCACAAGGAAGTGGAAAGGAGAATGGAATCCACTTAAGATTTCTTTTCCTAGTGGGGATGGAAGAGGACTATTTCCTGCCATGGGAGCTACTTATCTCCATAAGTTGAGTCAATTTCCAAAGCAGATTTATTTTAAATACTTGCACAAATCTGCAAAACTTAACAAAACTGGAGAAAAGTTAAATCCAAGAGCAATGGCACTGTTTTGAACAGTAAAGTATGGGTCTTAAATACTACATAAAGTAGGAGAACTATATGGTTTCTGACACTTGTCAGCAAGGGGTTATTTCAAGCCATTGTCAAAAAAGGATTTGATTATTAATGTAGAAGGGATGAAGCTATGATTTCTAGGATTATTTTATGAACTTAAAAAAAAAAAACAAACGTTTTACATTTTAGAAATAACATGCAAGGACAAAGTTCCTGAAATATTACAAGAAAAAGTGCAAGTGCTTTTTTTGAAAACTGTCCTTTCCTTTTTTGTAGGCATACCCTCTCGTAAAATAAACAATGCTGCTGGGCCAGCTACTGATGTCAGAACAGAACAAAATGGCTCTGAAGCTGAAGGCCGAGGGGGTAGTGTCCAACCCACACTTGTTGGTACTAGAGAAGGTACAGTCAGGCTAGGTAAGGAATGTCTCGCTCTGTTGCATTCCCTCCTCCTTGCCTCCACAAATGAAACGTTTTGAAAATGCAGCTTGCAATAGGAAATCAAAATCAAAGGACTTACCATGTGTCTGGAGATATAGCCTGATATCTATGGGGAAAAGTAAATGTTAAGGTTATAATGTTATGCACTCAGAAGTTAGGTTAAGTAGAATAAATTTGCTCAACTTGTTTGTTGTGTTAGTCTTACGTGACATCACGTAGTGAATCTGATAGAGCCAGGCTCTCTTGGGTTTTAAACTAATGCCAGAAGTGTAAAAGAACATTCTCTCTCTCGAAATTCTTTGCATTATTCATGGTCCATTTTGTACACTGAATGTAATCGGTCCTGTGAAACAAGTAGAACTTGATTGTATAACTAAATGTTCTTTTACTGTCTTTTCCGCTTTCTCACGCACATCTTGTCCATAACCCTTGTGTTAGCCACCAATTCCAGGGAAAGTCACATGGCTCAGTGATAGTAAGTTTTTTCCAGCTGCCATGCTTAAAGGGGCTTAATTGTTTCATTTAACCTGAAAGAAGTGTTTAGCCCATGCATCAGCTTTAGGTCTGTGATTATAGATCAGACTGTGGTCATCTTAAATTTGTTCCCCCCACACTATCGTGGCAGGAAAAGCAGAAGCAGAGGGGCAGGCAGCCTGACTCTTGCCTTCTTCACCTCCTGCTTACACTCCTTGGCAGTTGCACACCCCTGGCTCTGCCCCAGCTCTGGACCATGCTGCCACAACTGCAAGATCTCATCTTGGGCCCTGGAGCAGCTCCCTACCCAGCTGCATGCCCTGCCAGTGCTGCTGGGGCCAGTCTCTATGGAAACCCTTGCTCCATGCAGTCACCACTACTGGGGTCTCCATGGAAACTGGTCACAGCAACATAGGGGGTAGGGGCTGCTGGGAAGTGGAGTCCGGCTGCTGGCCTTTAGCTCATCCCTGGTCTACTTGGAAGTAAAACGCATGTGTAGATGCACCCTGTTTAAATTATACTTCACACAATCCATGCTTTACATAATATCTTGTTTTGCAGTTTCCCATTTAATTGTTTTTTAAAAGTTTGCTAAGAACAGTTTCATGCCCTTTTTTTGTCATCTCTGAATGATGTCGGGTTGTGTTGTCTACCTGAGTGCCCTGTGTGCCTCTGTTCTCTCATGCTCATTATCTTCTGCCATGCAAGGTTTCTATGCCAGGTGTTGTCAGCTGGGGGTACGTGTATCACTGGGGGTACTTGAGAAGGCACTAGGGAGTGCGCATGGGCAGGCAAGGACAGAGTGCTGCCATGTACCATCCCGTGCTGCCACTCAGGCCCCACCCATCTGGTCAGACACGGGTGGGGCAGGGGAAGGTTGCATGCAGCGGCTACTGCTGCTCCGCATTCGGCCATGTGCTACCCTGCTTCCACCCCACCCACCCTGCTTCCAGCCACTGGGGTACACTGATCCAAAAACGTCAATAACCCCAGTTCTGTGCCATCCCTTGGTTCTACTGTGTCACCCCCACAGCCTGCTTAGGCTCCATGGATCCACTTTGTCTGTTTCACTGAGAAGTTCATCTGTTTGTACATTGATCCTATGAAGCATGGTGGTAACATTGGAGGAAGGCCTTTAAACTCTTCAGATTTCTTAGGGCCAAAAACTGTCTTCTGTGGAAAAACACAAAGTATCTCCCCTACTGTATAACAAACAAAAGAGCAAGTGGAGGTATTCTGGGGTCTTGCATCTTTTATAATTAAAAATAGCTCCCTCTGGAATTGCTTCTTAAAATTCTGTATTGGAGAAAATGATTTAATCCACTTATGTAAATGTGCATAGCTTAGCCTCAAATATTGTGCCGGTTTGATGTAAATTAAAAGCTATTTACAAGAAAGTAGACTTTACATTCCTGTTGTTTAAACATAAATTATGCTGTTTGAGATGCTTTGGACTTACCAGTTGTTAGCTGAAGTTGCTTAATTCTGCTAAAGAACATAATAGCTTTTCATATCAGAATCTATAGTTGAATAGATCACTAATAATGACAGTGTTTAAGGGGCAGTGTCAGTCGCACACACCCTCTCAGAAGGCAGGTAATTCTATAAAACTGTTTTTGGAAATCCCAGTTTGAGAACGCAGTTCAATTTTTGGTTATTATTCTGAAGTCTCTCTCTCTCTGTGCCTAAGTTTGGTTAAAGAATGATGCTATAACTGGCAGTAATTTTTTTTTTCCATATTACTTTCTAGGATTTCCTGTGGATCCACGGAAGGTTTTAATAGTAGCTGGCCACCATAACTGGATTGTGGCTGCCTATGCCCATTTTGCAGTTTGCTATAGGTATGGCTTAGTACTTTTCTGTGGGTTAGATTCCTCCTTTTATATAGGTGTTCTAATTACTGTATTGAACTAAATCCAAGATGACTTCAAGTTTAAGATGACCCCCCCCCAATAATTTAGAATCTATACATGGAAAATCATAAATGCGTTCTTTTCTATGTATAGAATCTGATTACTGGAGAGTCATCTTAAATTTGTTCCCCCCACTCTGTTGTGGCAGGAAAAGCAGCAGCAGAGGGCTAGGCAGTCTGTCCTTTGCGTTGTCCATCTGCCCCTGCGTCACCTTGCACTTCTTGGTGATTGCAGCCCCTGGTACCTGCCCCCAGGCCACTTGCCCCTGCCCTGGAGCTGGAGCCATAGCAGCTCCCCTGCTGCTGGGTGGTCTTTCCTGTGTGTCCCTAGCCTGTACCATGTGGCCTCCCCCAGGCTTGCTGCCCCACTTCCCCAGTACTGCATTGTCTCCTCCAGAGTTGGGCTGGAGCCAGAGCTGCAGCAGCCACCTGTGCCATGCTGTACTCAGATCCAATACCAGGCTTATTTTCTCCCATGTTGATTGCGGGATGGGGCAAAACCTGGCATGGATTCAAATAAATATGGTACATGATTTACAGAATCCTATGCTGTTAATTTCTTTCAAATCTTAACCTGTTCCATTTTTAAATATGAAAACTCCTAGTCCAGCGGTAATATTGGCATGCACCTTTTGGGGGATCATATAACTAACTTTTCTACTGCACCTCATTTCCACTATCATTGCAGAATTTCTTGCTGTTATGGTAATAGGGACATCTTTAAAAGTCCACTTAAATTGTGTAAATTTAAACTTGTATTTTAAATGTAACTACAGTAGTAAGTTACAGAATTGAGTAGTGGTCTCCATTGTTTGATTTGTATAGTGGACTAACTGCTCTATTTAAAGCAAGGATTATTTAAATTACTTTGGAAGATTCATTTTAAATATTCCTCTTCCCTATGCATTTAAAAACTGAAAAATGTGTGTTCTGGAAATTTGTGTAGAATACAGCATTGCAGTATTCCTAAGAATTTATGCATCTGTACAGTGAAATCCACTGCTCTTTCTTTCTTTTGCATATTTGTAAGAGGGCTGCTAATCTGTCTTGTACTTCAGTTCTATAGTTTAGTGGAGCTGTGTTTTAAATAAAAATGTGCTGCTGTACTTAAGCATTACCAAGTGAAATAGTTATTGTCTTTAAACCACCCCCCCCCCCCCCCCAGCTAATTTCGGTTCAGTATTAAACTTATTTAATAAAATCATCTGATTTGCATGGTGCAAGCCACAATTACCTATTGTTCTTCCCTCTTTTCAGTGTTCCATCTATTTTTTGTTGTTGTTGTTGCTCATTGTATGGCAGTTCTCATAAATGAAAGCTCCTTTTCCTGCATGGTAACCTGGATAAACCAGTTTTACCATTTTGAACTAGGTCATCAGTATTCCTTTTACTTTAAGTAGAGCATCACAATTTTAAGTGTGCTCTAATAACAGGACATGTTCAAAATGTAAATCCAAAGCTGTCCTTTCTTCATTCATATTATGTGCATCAGTTTCCAGTGTCAGTTTAGACTCCTTTCTTTAAATTAAATTGGAAGGAAGTGGGAAGCATGATCTATGTTTGCTTCCTCTTTCTTGGCCCCTGAAATGTTCATACCTACTTATCCTTTGGTTCATCTTGTTCCTGCTTAGATTAAGACCAAGACTCTTTGTGGCAATTTTAGGGCATCTGGAAGGTGGGAGGCAGCATAACATTTTAATTTTAAAATGACTGTACATATGCATTGCTAGTGTACTTGAGTGGTATCTGTGCAAAAAAAATAACATCCGTGCATCATAGCCAGATGGTCTCTTGAGGTGTCATAGCCTCAGGAGAATGTGAAAGGTAGAGATGGAATGGTTGAAAAACATGATTAAAGTCATGAAGTGGCAGTTTGCAGTAGATTTAGTCTCTGAGGTTCGTGCAGTAAAAAAATATTTTAAAACTTTCTTTGCATTTTTATTGTAAGATGGATCCGAACACTTGAAAGGTATGTTATAATCTCCTTTAATGAATTAACACTTTAAATGTTTAATGAAGAAAGTTTTGTAAAGACTTAAAAAAATTGGCTCTTCTGCTTAGCAATATGTATGCAATATTTAATCTTTTTCATTGATCAGTTGCAGAACAATTAAAAACTGATTTCTAAAAAGTTTAAAATATAATTTAAGTATTTGACATTGGTGATACTTAACCTTTTCACATGCAGTCTTACAGAAAATATAGCAATTCAGTAGTAGCTTCTTCTCCTAAACTTATACACATGCTGTACACCCCCACACAACCAGTACAACATGCTGCAGTACATCTCAACCACACTGGCTGTCTGCAGGCTGATCTAATCTGTCCTCCAAACTGATTTCCCATAGAATTTTGATTCCAATTCTTGGTCATCCTTATCTTCAAGGCATTCTGGCCTGAGCCCAAGATGTATGAAAAACTGCCTCAAGCTCCAGGAAAAAGACTGATTGACAACTTAACTCTTCTGGCACAGATGGAACTCTTTTCTGCTCATCTGTGCAGAAGACAACAGTTTCTTGGGGTCGGTCCATAACTGGAATGAACTTTTTTTCTGGGAACCATGAGCTGTTATAGTGTCACTTCCACTCAAAGTGCAAGGCACATTTCTTTAATATTTTTCTAACGTACAGAAACGTGCATATTTTAAAAAAAAAAAAAAAAAAAGGCCAAGGCTATAAAATCTCAAAACAAAACTACTCTGGCTTCTCTCCTGTGGGGAGAGTGAGAGAACAAACACCTGACAAACATTAGTCCTGCTGCTTAAGGTCCCACTGGAAAGCACTCGAGTAATATGTTGATGAATGCAATGCAAGACCTGAAATAGATCAGAATATTTTCAGGAGTCCTGCTTTTGTAACTCTGATATTCGCTCATTTGAACAAAGAGGTACATGAGTAAATAGAAGAAAAAATCTCTGAGAAAAGTGTTCATAAAATGTTCTGTTCTCAGCAGTGAGGTAGAAGCTAAAATTAAATTATAAGGTTATAAGTTTGTGAAAAAGTATGTTTGGTGAATTCAGTGTTTTTCTTTTTTAGAATGAGATACTCTTTTGGCTTAAGCCATACTGTATAGTAGAGCTTCAGGTTGTGAATGAGAACTGCTAGGCTAAAATTTGGTATGGATAAATTTAGTACAACTGCCATAAATTTGTACCAGCACTAGTCAGCAAACCCACATCTTTTTACCTTCTTTTCAGTATGGATTGCTTTATTGTACTGTATCGGTAAGCAAATTGTGTTAATGTGCCACTCTGTTCTTCTTTTCTTCCATTTCAGAATCAAAGAGTCCTCAGGCTGGCAACAGGTTTTCACAAGTCCATACCTGGATTGGACTATAGAACGAGTAGCGCTGAATGCGAAAGTGGTTGGTGGTCCTCATGGGGACAAAGATAAGATGGTTGCCGTTGCCTCAGAAAGTAGCATTATCTTGTGGAGCATTCAGGATGGTGGTAGTGGTAGTGAAATTGGTGGGTTATTGTTTGGGTTCTTTTGGGTTTTTTTAATGACATCTTACTACTAATGCTTTCTGACCCAGAAATATGTATTCTGATTGCATGCATTAACAGCATATATTACGAAAGGTATAAAAAAAAAAAAAAAGTTTTGGTAAAGCAATCTACTATCATTCTTATGGTTCCCCTTCTGCTCATCATCTTGAGCTGGACTAGCTTCCTTCTCAGTGGGCGCTTCTACACATGTGCTTTACTGCTGAGTAGACTAATTAACTCCACAGTAAAGTGTTCACCATCTTCTACATATGTATTGGAATTAGGGTGCAGTAAACTAATTGACTCCACACTAAGATAGTACTGTCACCAGCAACAGTACTATCTTAGTGTGGAGTCACTTACTGTGCAGAAACACAATGTGTAAATGGTGACCAGGCAGGGTCCAGAGTCCTGCCTGACTCCTAACCGTGTGACTCCACAAGGTCAGCACCATGATGCCCCAGCCAGGCCTTTCCACCACCCGATGCTGCCGGAGCCCAGGACTGAGCCCCCGTGCCTCCTGCCAGCTTGGCTGTGCTGTGCCCCAGCTTGAATTGCTGCTGTCCCAGGTGCATTTGTAGATGCTACACCTGGGAGCAGTTTACTCCAGCTTGAGCTGCTGTGGAGTTCATCATGTCACATAAATTGCATGTGTAGATGCACCACTGAGTAAAAGATAACAGTCTAGACTTTCTCATCCCTTTTATTGGGCAGAGACTGGTAACTACCATTCATGTTAAAGTGTTATTATTGGTTTATTTTAATTGGACAGGGCATATCGAGACATGCATGGACATTTTATTCTCTGGGGATAACTAGCAGCAGTGCACTTTTCACCACAGCTACTTGTCCCTGGGGAGTGTCCATGCCACGCACGCTTTGGTGTGCTGCGAGTTACCCTGGCAGCAGTAGGAGAGCCTGGGGTCAGCACTGTGCTAGCCCCAGCAGCCTTACCTGAGGTACTGGGGGCCTCCTGGGGCTGCAGCTGCAGCAATTCTGTTGCACAGAGCCTGGCTGACAGCAGAACGCAGCTCAGCTCTGCTTTTCAGCAGCACTTGCTGCCCAACCATGCGTTGTGCCGATTTTGGGGTTTTTTTTTCCCCCCATGGGTTGTTTTTTGACCCCTGCATATCCAGGGGTCAAAAAATCCCATGGAAGGGGGGTGGAAACCTGGCACAGTGCACGCTTGGGCAGTGTGCTCTTGCAGCGCGTAGAATGCCAGACTACAGTATGTGGCACTGCAAATGTGTTTGCGACACCACATACTGCATAACCATGCTCATCTGGACTCTCGCAGTGTGTTTTGGAGTTTAACTCAGTCTATTGGATTCCATTCTTTAGTACTACATCAAGTGTATTAACATAAAACTTTGAAATGAAGGACTAAGCTTGCTGCCAAATTGTCAACTGGATTTTTCTCCTTTTTTTTGTACTTGTGTAGGTCACACTTGAGGTGTTTCTTCTCCACTCCCCATGTCTCCTTTTCTAATTTTTATAATATTTTGCAGTTTCTAAATGAAATGTGGAGTTGACACTTGCCACAAGTGGTTACTATTTTGAACACAAATATTAATGTAATATAGGCATGTAGCACCCAGACCCAAACAGTTCAGTACCAAAGGGTGTAGGGTGTTAGAGGTCACAAATAAATATCAAAGACCTTTGAGGGAAGCAAAAATTCCAATACAAATATGATTGATAGCTTGTCTTGCTTATTAAAATGTATAAAGGCTTAACGGCATGAGCAGTGGGCTCTTCTGGGACAGTTAAGGGAATGGTAATAGGGAATTTCCTCAGTTCCCAGACTAGTATTTAAGTCAATGCAACAATGATAGTAACAGTCTGTTTCCTCTAGCCCCAGAGTACTGTCACTAGGGATTTGATTTAATAAGCTTACCACGAAGAATAATTGTAATCTTTTCGCACAGACATTTCTCTGAAATTGTCTGCAAAATTTGTTTAGTTCTTTGTCTATAGCCACTTTCTTTTCTTTTCTTTTTTTTTAAACCCACACAAACTTAATGATGTATGAGCTAATGTGATTGAAATGAAATTAAGCAATGTGATGTAAAAATATTTGCAAGTTTTTTCAGCCTATATGGACTTTATTATAAATATAGAAAATTTGGAATGCATGACTTGGAGTAAATGAGTGATTATTTTTCTGACTTGCAGTATTCATTAATACCTGTAGGATGCTCAGAAATGTTGTTTCTCAACATCCATGAGAGATATTAAAATGTATTTTACAGGTGGGGAAACCGAGTCATGGGCAAAGTGGTTTGCAGAACGTTGCTCAGCTAGTCTGGCATCATGGAGAATGGGAAATTGCTCTTTTTTGTCGATTAGGAATTCTAGCCCATTTGGGATAGAAAATAAAAAGTTATTAGGATTAATTGTTATCTACAGTTCTTAAAGGTTCCTTGTTTTTTAAGGACTGTGAGAAGAAAATTTGTGTAATGTCAATTATTAAACTGCCATTACAAGAAACATATTTCTTAAATGTGTAAGACAGCAGAATTCTACACATTAAAATATTTTAAAATGCTTTCTTAGATTTTTCTTTCCCATAAGTGAAATTAATATTTTATTAGCTATTCCGTTACATGGAGCTGCCTTTTAAAAAAAATTATGAAACTCTTAAACCAGAGAGATAGAAAACCTAAGTTCATTTTTATAAATACAGCTTTAACTGCCATAATAGTTCAGCAGTCCTGATGCTACTTAAGTCAATACATGTATTTTAGATTATTAATTCAGTTGTTAAAATTTTCTCTTTTTTTAAAATGAAATTAAATAAAATGTGGAAGTTAATTATTGTAATTTGAGAAGTCCTTATTGTGAAAAAAAGTCTGACCAGCTGGTAAATTGTACTTTTGTCCAGATTATGAATCAAGTGTAGCACACTTGCTTTTAAACTGCTATTGTAAATCAAATGTGTGTATCTCTTTTTTTTAATTGAGTGAAATTAAGAAATCTAATAAGATAGAATTAAAGTATTTTTAATATTACAGCCTGTTCCTCATGTAGAGACAAATGTTTTCAGCCCTGTCTTGGGATAGAGAGGTAGTACTCTGCTCATGTCCTGTAAAAGAAACAATTTGTTCTTACAAATGCTCTTTGGTAGCTGACAACACCATCCATAGAAAATTGGAAGGCCTGGCATCTCCATGATAGAGCTCTCCCAGAGGCTGTACTCCTTTCAATATTACTTACATAAGACACCACTGCTGGATTGCTGCTATAAGCAGTATTTTACTGAGAAAGCCCCTTAAGACAGGAACCTGTCATTACTTATACCATTGTCTTCCCTGTGGATGACCGTCAAGATTGTTGAGCCTAAGCAGGAGTGACACTTTAAATTCCTTCAGACCATTCAAGCTGTCTTCCTTGATTTTCCTGAACCTCGTCCTTCTCTGGAGTAATCAATTCTAGTTGTTTCTCTGTTTTTATTATTGCCTCTCTTTATGTGTCTTATACTGCCGAATAGCTTGCATCAGAGATGATCATATTATGCCCTGAAAATAATTTGCCATCATAATTAAAGCATTAGCATGTAAAAAAGATTCTTGACTGCCATCAGGGAGCGTTGTGGACCATTATCCTTTTACTTAGAAGAAAGGGCATCTTATTTTTGTCATTTGAATGCATCTAACTAAAGTTTGGGGATTTCCAGTTTCTAAAAGCTTTTTCAAGGGGCTTCTGGTGAACTTTGAGAAGGCATTTGGGTATATACTGCTACATTATTAAAATTAGGGGTGCACTGATAAAGATTTTCTTGGTCAATACTGATAGCTGGTTATTAACCAGCCATATTGGCCGATACCAATCCAATAGCTGGTTTACAGGAATGCAGCCAGTTAGCTGGGAGAGCAGCATCCTGCAGGTAAGTCTGTAGGGAGGAAGGGGCATGGGGGAAGGCAGATTGAGGCCCCATGGTGAGGCAAGGAGTGGGGGTGGGGCAGGTGCTGCCCAGCCAGGATGGTGAATGCAAGTCTGGGGCAGGGAGTGGGATGGAGCTATGGGTGGCTTGTTCAAAGAGGTGGGGTGGGTGGGCAGATCCCCACCACTGTGCGCACCCCTGGGGGAGGCATGGGGGACATGTGCCTCCCTGGATTTGTGTACCGGGCAAGGGCAGGCTGCTCACTGCGGACTCAGGGATGGGGGCTGCACTGGCTTCTTCCGGGGCTGGGCAGGGGTGGGGCAGGCTCAGTGCTGGGAGGGGTGGCTATGGGGAGGTTACAGGGTATTTTGGGGTGGCTGTAGCGCCCCAAGGCCCCCCCTAGCACTACTGCTACCCACCCCATGCAGCTGAATTGGACCCGAGTGCAGTCCTAGCCTAGACCCCTTGCTGGGAAGAGGCTGGTGCAGCCCCTGGCCTGGAGCCAGCAGCAGGCAGCATGCCCTTGCCCTGCACACATCTGGGGGGGGGGGGCACATGCCCCCCATACTTCTCCCAGGGGTGTTCTCAGTGGCAGGAAGCCACCCTTCCTGCATCCCACAGATGAGCTGTCTGCAGCTCCATCCTGCTCCCAGCCCCAGGGTTGCATTCACCGTCTTGTCTGGGTAGGCCCTGCCCCAGTCCCTCCTTCCTTCACCATGGTGGTCTCAATCTAACCCTCACGCCCCTTCCTCTCTGCAAACTTAATGACAGGAGGCTGCTCTTCAGGCTGCTGGGCTGCATTTCTGGCTGTGTGCATGCTGCGGCTACGCACATGCATGTGGCATTTATCGATGACATTTATTGGCTACACCAGCCAAAAAAAGCTGATGGCAGATAATGTTAGTTTTTCTTTTATCAGTGCCAATCTGATATGCCACCAATATATTGATGCACCTCTAATTAAAACACTTAAGAGGCTATCCAGGATGCTTATGAAACTTACTGTAATTATTGGTACAATAGGAGATCAGCACATTAAGAAATTAATTACTTGGTATTCTATATAACCTCATGAGGCTTTAAGGTGTTTAAGGCGAAGAGATTAGTTTATGCTTGGAAATCAACAGCATTTAGGATGTGGGTTATTTTAATTCAATTGATACATGTGGCAAGCATCTTACCAGGCAATTCCAAGAGTGCAAACTTGGAAGACTAAACATTTTGTTGTGTTCAGTTGTTGTAGCTTACAAAATGACTTAATGTTGTAGTAAGCTTCTCAAACTTGTCAGTCACTAGAAGTCATTGTAGGTAGCTGTAGACACTGGGTTTTGTGGCCCAGCTGGGCCCTCCTAGCTGGAAGCCATAGCTGCCCCAGGGCTGAGTGAAACCCCTGGGGCTTGGGGGGTCATGGCTGCTGTGATCTCCCAGGTTCAGGGGTGTGTGAAACCCCTGGGGCTTGAGGATTGCAGCTGCTACAATCCCCCATCCCCTGGCGTGTGTGGGGTCACAGCTGGGAGCCCCTCAACTGAGGGGGGTCCCAGCCATTCATAGAGCTTCTTGTCAGTGCAGGGGGAGCACCGGATCAGGCTCCCCCTGCACCAGCAATAAGGCACAATGGGATCTGTGTGATCCCACAATCGCGCCACCTACTGTGCACACGTGGTATGGCAGGAGGCACAATTGTGTGGATCATGCATTGGATCCCATCACACCTCTGTTCACACATGCAGGGGGGACCTAGATGTAAGACTTAACAGCAGTGTTAAAATCATTGGACCCTGTGAGCTGGACATCCTGCAAGTGGTGGCAGTGGTGTTAATCAGCGCAGTTGCCAGAGCTGCTGTTTTGGTGTGGCTCTGGAACCCGAAAAGTTAATGCTGTTTCAACCAGCCTCTCCCTGTCTTTCCCCTTGCCACCGATCTTAGTCCTCAGGTGCAACCCTGTCTTCAGTAGGTAAGGACTGGTGGTGAGCAGCGTTAAATCTTTGGGTTCTGGGGCCACACTGAAATAATGGTATTAATGCTACCGCTGCCTAGCTCTGGCAACTATGACAAAAGGCCCGTGAGGCTCGATCTGTCCCACAGATGTATGTGGTCCAGCTCACAAGAAACTCCTCTGGCTGGTTGACCCACCTACATAGGTCAGATCTGGCCTGCAGGTTGGATTTTTGGTACCCCTGACTTGGGGGTGCAGATAAGAGAGAGAGAGAAACTGTGTGTTGTTCCTAAAGTAATTTTGCAGATGTTTTAAATATTGGTTGCCGAACTTTGCCATAACATTTATGATAGTGGAGATCTCGGTGTAAAGTGATCGTTGGGTTTCTTGTGCATGTTTAGTTGCTGTTGTTGTTTTAGAAGTAAACTTGTACTCAAAGTTTTCTGTAGCAAAAGATAAAATGTACTCATAAATGTTCTTTATGAGTAGAAAAGTCAGATTTCAAGTGCTTCCGGATATGTTTGTTATAAGAGAGACACCGTGGTGTTTTGTAAAGGGTATCCTTCAGTTTAGTTAGAAATGTGTGTATAATAGGTAGGGACCATTTGACTTTGTGGTGGAAGTGGGCTCCACGGTGGCTCCTTTAATCTTACAAGCACCTTCCCTTCCTCCTTGCCTCCCTCACTGGTGATTGGCAGAGGGGCCTTGCCACTTGCTCCTGAAAACTGCAGTCTTTGCCTCCCTACTGATTTTATTTATTTATTTGCTTTTTAAGAGCAAGCAGCAGGGCCCATCCGCCAGTCATTGGGGGAGCAGGGGAACCTGCAAGATTAAAGGAGCTGCCACGCAGCCCATGTCTGCCATTAATTCAGTAGGAGCTTATTAATATACCCTCCCACAGATGATGGTAGTGTAAAGAAAAATAAGATTTTCCTACCTAATTGTAAGATTTTTCTGTGACAGACGCTTTCGGCATAGAAGTGGCTTCCAAAATAGAAAACGTTTGTTTTAATTTCTATCTATAATATTAAGAGAACTTGTTTGAAAGGCATTCACTCTAACAATGACATTAATTATATTACATCTCTTTTTTCTAAATTCTCGAGCTATTCATTTTGTGTCCGTTACGGACAGCCCTTGTGATGAGCTTTACTTCGACTCCCGTTCAAATAAGAATTCCCCCCCACCCCTCCTCATACCTCGTGCTCCACACTGGTACTCGCAGTCAATTGCAACTTGAAGGAATCTGTCACGGTTGTGTGGTCATGTTTGACTCTACCTTTTTTATGTTCTGCAAGCTGAATGCTTTTTTCAGCAGTCAAGCACTTGTGATAAAATCATTATTTCAGCAAAGCTATGTTCAGGAGGAGATCTAGGATTACTGTAATCTATTAAAATTTCTTCTGAGAGTTGGAAGAGACTGGGGACAGAGCATGAACTATAAACCCACCAGAAAGTGTGCACTGCCTCTTAATTAACATGAGTAAAACTTGCATCTCATGTTTAAAATGAAGCACTTTATACTCTGAATAAGGATTGTCCTGACAGACACCATTCCTTAGTGGCTGTTTACTTCAAATCTCTGTGATTTGTTGTTCTAAAGAGACAACTTCTCACTTTTTTTTTTTAATCTTAGTTTAATTGTGGCATAAGAATGACTTAACACTTCTTAAATTTTCCAGGAAATCCAGGTAATTTATGGGAAAGTACTGTGTAGCCTTTTTTCCCATCTTCTGTAACTGGAATTATGACAATGGGTGGTCCTGTCTTTTCCAGACAGTAGTTTTATTCTTGCTAAAAAAACAACAACTAGTAATACTACTACAGTTCAGATCTGTATCGTAACAGGTTGTTTGATTTGTTTTTCGTTGTCACCTTATCCTTTCTCTTGATTCCTGTCTCTCTCTCCCCCCTGCTTTCCCC